CAAAGAACAATATATAAATATTAACTTTAATTTTCATCATATTTTGCTGATTTCTGTAGAATTAATTAAGATTTTTCATGATTTTATTTTCTATTTCACACGCAAACTATGTTACATTTATCAAATAAATGGGATAAAAATATATTTTCACAAGATGATGTTGCATTCAGTCTATTTATACACGCTTGTATCCATTTCTATCCCAAAGGACAACACTGAATGCAAGGTTATACAGTACTTCGAGATGAATCAACAATAAAAACAAAAAAATCCTGTGGAAAGCTGTGATTTATATGGGAATCTTTTCTTAATTAAACTCTTCGATTAAGAATGTCGTTATTGAAACATTAATTAGCACAAGTTTAAACTCGGATATAGTGAAACGTGCGTGTTAAACAGTATATAATTGTAAACAGGAGCTTGTAAATGCAAAAATATTTTCTAGAATTCTTTCAAAGAAAACTGGAAATTTTTTGTAAAAATATTGAAATTAATAAGTAATATATTTTCTAAAACTATGGTTTTATTTTACTAAAATAGACTTGAACTTATTAAATTTCTGAAACTATTGTTTGGTTTCTCTAGAATAAGCTTGAACATATTAAATTTTTCAAACGGGTTTGGTTTCTATAAAATAGGTTTGAATTGTTAACTTTATTTTGTAGTATATTATCTCTACATCTTTACCTATTGCTTTGTACTTATAGAATATTGAAAAAGTGATAGCCTATAGATGTGTTTATTTAACTTTGTGTTTTCTTTAACTAAACGAAAGAAAAGACGGAAAATTATTATAATTAAAATAATACATACAGTCTAACTCCTGATATATCCGATTTATTTACACCGAACAGGACCAAATTAAATAATTGTGCAGATTGAATTCGAGCAACTTTTCTGTACTTTTTAAAGGAAATAACAGTATTTTTTAACGAAATTAATTGTTGTTTATTTATTATTTTAAATATTTAATTTAGACATTTATCTGTACTTTTCTACTAAATTACAACCGCTTATATTAAACAAATACATGTCATTAACGGGCCACACCTTTCACTACATATAGTAAACCGTTATATCGAGGATGAGGCGCATATATTTAATATTTTTCACTAGATTTCAAGTTCTGTAACGATTTTTTCTCCACTAAAATTGTTTCATTGTAAAATTATCAATTGTAAAGTCATTTCTCTTATCCTAATTAAATAATTAATAATTAATATTCGATAAAATTTGTTAAATTCACAAATAAAAACTGCATAAATGTTTATGTAAGCAATATATTTCCATTGATCTAAATTAAAATTTTACACAATGTTGTATTTAATTTTNAGGCGCATATATTTAATATTTTTCACTAGATTTCAAGTTCTGTAACGATTTTTTCTCCACTAAAATTGTTTCATTGTAAAATTATCAATTGTAAACTCATTTCTCTTATCCTAATTAAATAATTAATAATTAATATTCGATAAAATTTGTTAAATTCACAAATAAAAACTGCATAAATGTTTATGTAAGCAATATATTTCCATTGATCTAAATTAAAATTTTACACAATGTTGTATTTAATTTTATAGGCTTGAACACTGTTGTGATAGCTTAAGTGGAAAGATATTTTGGAGTGTTAAGCACTCAGGAAGTTAAAAAAAATATATAAAAAATAACCTTCTTTAGAATTGATTTGAAATCTGTTACAAGAAACAGCTGTTATAGTTCAGCAAATAGTGGAGCAATTGTGTTCAAACTTTGGAATCAAATGATTTAATGGTCTTTTAAGATAATGATTAATGTTCTTTTAAGATCTTCTAGAAAAAATAAATAAATCTTGATATAAAGAATGCCTTTAAACTATTTTCTTTAAGTATTTTAAGTATAGCAAAAAAATTAAATAAATGAGAATTAAACGATAGATGCATTTTTTTTCAATGTTAAAACTACGTAAGTTAAAGGATTTTTTTCAATTAAAAATTATTGTTAAACTGTTTCTGAATTAAATCTTATTTTATTTATTTAAACAGTTATCAAATTTATCTTGGCTCAAATAAATCTCTTAATTGAATTCTGTAAGATTTACTTCTAGAATTCTAATTTAATCATCTCGTTTATTCGTTTTATAAACAATTTATGACACAGATGGAGTGTAAATAGTAACAATTATTTACTGTGATATCGTCATAATGCCGAGCTACAATTTTTAATCATCTTTTAATTTAAAAAATCATGTGGCTTTCGGTTCAGACCAGAATTTCGTACATAGTTAATCGGGGATAAACTTTTCGTATCTGGTCTCGATTCTCGATTTTCATATATCTAACTCCGTTTTCGAGATTTAGGACGGACAGACGGTTAGACGGACCAGTGAGAATGTAGCCTATATGTATATAATTTAAAAATTGCAAACCAATAAAACCCGAGAAAAAAATCTAAAAGTAATATAAATTTGCCCAAAAGTTAGTTGACTGTGTTTTGTTTTTATGTTTTTCAGGTCTTTTTATGGTTTTAGACTACATAACATATTCGTGAAACTGAATATGTTATACTGAACACTGTAAATTCAAAAAGTGCAAATTTTATCACTTTAATTTAGTAATTAATTCGATTTTGTCTAGAAAAGACAGCCCTCTATTATGCCATCATTTTATTGATACATTATGGCTTCTCATATATTAAAAGTGAATTAATAAAATAACTTATTATCTCTCATAAGATAAGCATAAAAATGATAATAAATCATCGAATTCTTTTTAATATCAGTATATATATTACAAAATACATATTAAAATTATTTTTTACTGCTCAATTTTACGGACCCCTATATAACGGATTTCAGAAACAACGAATCAAATCGTTTGTTTCAAGGCAACAATCTAACAGAAATGCAGTATTTGATAATACCAGACTTGACTATTGCATACTAGTGACGAAATTAAGTTGACCAATCAGCTTAAACGATTAATTTCACCAATCGTTTCTTTTGACTTTGACAAACAACAGAGAAGATTGGTTGAGTTTGTTGTTCTCATAATCTGTAGATGACATCTGGGACTATTGTTTAATTCCCTGACTCATAAAGAACACTTCTACTGACTGTATTGCATCATTAGACCTAACAAACACAGCGACGTTGTAGAAAACTATGACCCGTTGTTCTTCATGGCCATCTTACAGCGGGGCCCCCAGACCAGCATCATTGGCGAGCCCTTACAATCATTCGTTATATCGGGGGTTGAAGATATAATTTAGAGCTTTAAATTTTTAAATTTATTATTGTAAAGGTAAAGGTCAAAAAATCTTTTATTCAAGAAAAAAAATTAGTAATTTTGGAAAAATATTTAACATATTTCTTTCAGAATTGAAGAAAGAATTCATTAATAATTAATTATTTTTATTTTTAGTATTAAAAAAATAAAATTTTAAAACATTTGCACGTTTTCTTTATTATAACGAAAACATTTTAGACTAAAAAATTTGAGAATTTATTTTTAATTATCTGTTTTGACATTCCAGGAAATGTTAAATTGCTTTTTGTGTGTGTGTAAGGCAATGTTAATCGCAATTTTCTGTTTTAGTTTAAAAATACAGTATCTGCAATCTGCGACCAAACAAGGTGACTAATGTATATCTAATATGTATCTAAAAGAATATAAAAAGTAATTTTTTTTGTAATTTAAGTGGTTTAACAAAGGCACATGGAGGGAAGAAATCAAATTTGCATTACGATTTACATAATTCTGTGATGACAGGAAATCAATTAAGACAACAAAGTTTACAACGTACACAAGAGAAACATCACACTGGTTATACAATACACGTACACAAACCGTTGCACATTAAAGATTAATGCGTACAAACGATAGAACTAAGACAAAGGCTGATTCCACCAATTATCACTTTTGACCTTATACGCGTTCGTTTTGTCTGAGTAGTGTACGCCTTTACGTCAAATTGACGTCATCATCGCACTTTCTCAAAAGAAAACTGCAAGAATGACCTCAATAAGATGAAATTCGGACAACTTGACATTTGACAACTTGACTCAAAAGATTGGTTGAGCTTGTAACTGATGGTTATTGCGGTCTTAATTTTGTATCTCGGGTGAATCGACCATAAAACACTAAATAAGTAAATAGGCAACGTGACTTTGAACATTTCGCCATTTTATATCACATATCCATGTGGGAACTTCAATTATTGGGAACTTTAGCCATATGCTCACTGTTGCCTGTCTGTCCTTCGTAATTCTCGAGAACGGACGAAGATAGATGAAAATCAAGACCTGGTATAAAAGCGTGGAGATCGGAGGCTCCGATTAACTATAAACAAACTTCCCTTATAGAACGAAAATGTGTATTTTGCATGACTTCCTGTCTATACCGGAAGTCGCGTGATTTTTAAATGAAAAGTTGATTAAAATTGCAGCTCGGCATTGTGACAATGTCCAATAAATAACTCCCTTTGATTTCTAATTTTATTTATTTATTTCATTATATTTACAGGAAAAGTCTTGATCTTAGAACACACTTGTAATCTCTGAACTTCACAAACCGTCGAGTAATGGCCATAAACACGTACGTGCTTCAATAATTTTATATTTTAAACCAGATACAGTAAACTCTCGATATAATAAACTGAGATAAAGCATTCACTATATCGAGTTGATTACATAAAGTACAAGAACCAACAAAATTCTTCACTATATTGGTGTTTGCTGTATTACTGTGTTTACAAATAAATCAAAACAATAGTTTACTTATTAATACATTTTGACGTAATTTTTATACTTTTTTTTTTATTAAAAAATTAAAGGAATGACATATTTTTGATGTCATTCTGTTACTTACACTATGTTATACTGTAAATGGTAGCATTCTAACATTAAAAATAGAGAAAAACTTATTACTTAAATTAATATTAAATCATTAGTTTTTGATAAAACAATAAATGTTTATAACTTCATAAATATTATTTTTAAAAAAGTTTTTTTATATCCAACTTACATTTTAACTTGAAAGACGTGTTGAATATATCCATATCTAAACTGTCATTTTCAGCAATCCAATTGATATTTTTACTTAATTCTTTAGTAAAAATATACATCTCTACAAAATAAATTAAAATAGAACATTATTTAAGTAAAATATCAATAAATTTCATAAAATTTCACTCAAAATTTCACATAAGTTTTTAAATACATGTGGCTAAAAAGTCACTTAACCACGTTTCGTTTGCGTGTCAAACAGCTCATTTTCAGTAATTCTTACAAAGTTTATGATTAGTTGGCTACTTAAATAAGGAAGAAATTTAGTCTTCACAGTGGTTAACTGACTTTTGGTCTACCATTCGAAGATTCTTACCTATATTATTAGCCTGGAAGAACTCCACGTCTTTTTTCTTCACACGTGACAAAGCTCTAAGTATTTTATCAGCAAGAAATGTTAAATCTAACAAAATTTCTACAGCTTTTCTTCTAAGTAAAGCCTGAAAAATAGGTTTAAAAAGAAAGAAAGAAAAGAAAAAATATATATATAATATAATTTTGACAAATGTAAAAATCGATAGATACGAATTAAATGAGGTATGAAGCTAATAAATACTTGTCTTATTGAACAGTTCAAGTGTGTTACATTTAAATTCACATAAGGGAGATAATTTATGCATGACCTAATTCAATTTTTTTATTGAATTATTTATTTAAAAGTTCTTACATTTTTCTCTCTTTCGTAAGTGAATGTAATATTTCTTGCTAGGATAATGTCACATACTCTTAGAAGTGCCTGGAATTGAAAAATTCAAAATTTATGATTTCTAGAGCATAAAATTCACTTCTTTTTTATTATAATTTAATCAGATATTTATTATTTTATATCTAGAATATGAAATTTTATAGAATATTGCTTTAAACGTGCATTTAAAATGAAAATAAATCTCATTTTTAAGCAGTTACTAACGAGTAATGTCATGCTTTCAAGGAATGATTAATGTATAAAATTATTTTCAACGGTTTTATTTAAAAGATTATATATTTCTCTATAAAAAACATTAAGTTTTAAATAAATTTTTTTCATATTATAATTTGGAAAAGTGAATTGATCAGTGAATAGGCTACGTTGCTAAATTCAATAGGCTATATGTTAGAGTAATGATGCATCAATTTCAAAATTTGAATTTAATATAAGAATTTCGGGAATATTTTAATATAATTCATAGTTAAAATGCAATTTAGAACCTATATCACATAAAAATTGTGAGGATTTTCAAGAAAATCTGAAATTTTTCAATGATTTATCATTAGGAAGTAACTTACTCACAGGTCTATACTGAAGAGAATGAAGAAAAGATAGAAGAGAGAAGGATTTAGTAAAGTATTAAGCAGATAGGGCGAATCAGAAAGTATGAAACTAAGTAGGAAATTCCTTGGGAAGTGTTTACATAATAATTTTAATTACACAAACAACTTCACTTTAAGGGCATTATAGTGAAAAGCAAAACAAATTCTAAGTAGAATTTAACATAAATATGAGATAAATTAACTTATCTAAGCTTAATATTCGATTATATGTAATAAAAATAAAGAAATAAATATATTTATAATTGAAATAAACTTAAATTTATCTTTTATCAATCGATAAATCTAGTAAACGAAGTTCAAGATTTGTAAGTTTTATAATAATAATAAAAAAAGTAAAAAAAATCTAAAATTTTATATTTTAAAATTCATTTCCTTTTTCTATTTTTACATTATATTAAAATATAATTTAAAGTT